ATTAATATTGAAAAAATTTTACACAGTTTAAAACTTTTCTATTTTAATAAATTCTGTTCAACACCATAATTTTCTGTACTCGTTCCTGTGTCACTCTGTAACCTACTGGGACTTCTAAATATTGATTCTGACCTATACTTCAATTACAAAATGGCAGTTTTCTGTCATTTCTTAATGATGGCTCATTTGTGTCCCTTCCACACGTGCCGTGTTCTGTAATTAGACTGTAAATTCATTTTCACGGAGGACGTTAAAGATAAGAGAGATAATGTCACATAATGGCAAGCCTTTATTAGGCGAAAATGTTTATTTCAAGCCTTTAAACTACATTATTAGTAGTCAAAATTACACCAGCCCTGCAATTACACATCCACATTTATATATTTATTTCTATGATTTATATAACGCCCATCTGCAAATGTGTTGCGGCAGACCTCCTCTAGCATAAAAACTGACCACACTGCTGATAGAACCTCATCATAGTAGGCCAAATTCACTTCTAAATGTAGGTTTCAATTGCTTTTTGCTTAGTAGTATTGCCCCGGTTTTCTCTGATGACTGTTATTTAACTCTTACATAGGCCTAAACTGATCACAGTGCAGTTTGAACTAACTGCACAGTTAATCTCAGTAACCGTCTCACTTCTGCTCTGAAATTACACGCTTGTGTGTATTCACCGTGTTGGAGGGAAGCAATTAAACACCTCTGAGTTGGCACAAGGCTATCAGAATCGATTCTGAGCATGCAGATCAGTATAACTACACAAGTTACTACCACAATTCGTCACCGTTTTGATTTTTAACAAATATTTTGGGTAACCCTTTTCTTTGTAGCCTTTATGATGCATTAATAATGTACGTTATGATGCATGTGTTTTCATAAATATGAAAACAGAGGGCTCTGTGATCCAACAGTTAGAACAGCCCTGGTGAACTAAAGGGCTGCGGGCACATCTGTCCGATAGAAACGTCGGCCCATCACCTGCATCTCAATTGTAAATGACTGATAGGGCTTTCAAGAAAGAGATGAGCTTTGAGACAGGGATTCCTCTATTGAATCTCTGTGAAATCCCCTGGCTTTCAGGACAGGCATGCTATGCAACTTAAAATTATTTCATAAACAACCTGATCTGGTTTAACGCATAAATCTGATGGAGGAATTTGGAGTTCAAAAGATGTAAAAAAAGTAAATTATCCAATTTGGCCTTAAAGTAGTGCTGTTGAAATGGTATTCAATGAATATCACATGGTTTAATCTTCATTTTATAAAAATATGTATATATATACATACTACCATTCGAAAGCTGGGAGTCATTGGCATTTTTATTTTTTATTTTTTTGTGAAGAAATTAATACTTTTATTCAGCCAGGGCACATTAAATTGATCAAAAGTGATGTATAATGTTACACAAGATTTCTCTTTCTTTCGAACTTTCTATTCATCAAAGAAAAAATATAACACAAAAAATATCAAGAAGCTGTTTTTAATTTGACAATATTAATAATAAGAGTGTTTCTTGAGCAGTAAATCAACATGTTAGGATCAGGACAGGCATGCTATGCAACTTAAAATTATTTCATAAACAACCTGATCTGGTTTAACGCATAAATCTGATGGAGGAATTTGGAGTTCAAAAGATGTAAAAAAAGTAAATTATCCAATTTGGCCTTAAAGTAGTGCTGTTGAAATGGTATTCAATGAATATCACATGGTTTAATCTTCATTTTATAAAAATATGTATATATATACATACTACCATTCGAAAGCTGGGAGTCATTGGCATTTTTATTTTTTATTTTTTTGTGAAGAAATTAATACTTTTATTCACCCAGGGTACATTAAAAGTGATGTATAATGTTACACAAGATTTCTCTTTCTTTCGAACTTTCTATTCATCAAAGAAAAAATATAACACAAAAAATATCAAGAAGCCGTTTTTAATTTGACAATATTAATAATAAGAGTGTTTCTTGAGCAGTAAATCAACATGTTAGGAGGATTTCTGAAGGATCATGTGACACTGAAGAGAAATGATGCTGAAAATTCAGCTTTGCATCACAAGAATAAATTACATTTTAAAATATATTAAAATAGAGGACAGATATTTTAAATTGTAATAATATTTCACTATATTACTATTATTTTTTTTAATGTATTTTTGATCAAATAAATGCAACCATGGTGAGCATAAGAGACAAAAATATTTAAAAAATCTTACTGACCCCAAACTTTTATTGTGTGTATGTGTAAACATTCATTGATTCTCAAGAACTATATTAAGAAACAAAGGGATGTAAACATTTGTTAACAGGATGACTGGCGCAATTTTTTATTATTTTATTTTGTGGAAAATCGAAACATACACATTTTCAACTGAGTATTGTAAATATTTTCAAAAATGTAATCTAAAATATTATATAATTTATTATAATAAAATATATTTTGTCTTATATTTGTATAAATTCTGCAAGAATAATTTTTTAGGAGATAAAAGGGACATGCAAAAGTATACTGAGCTGTATACAGTATACACAAACACATTCTGATTGTTTTAAAAATAGTATGACCTTCCCAGAAGGCTCTTTCCCATTTGGTCTGCAATACAACCAGACTGGCCTTGCAGAAATCCAGGAATTATGAGAGGATTGAGCAAATGGTCTCTCCAGCAGACAACATCTCTGTCAGGCTCTTCCTCTCTCTCTCTCTCTCTCTCTCTCTCTCTCTTCAAATCACATTCCCGTCCTGCCTGTCTTGACAACTAGAGCTTTTCCACAAAGAATTTATCTTCCACAAAGGTTTCTGTTTGTTTGTTGGGAGCAGATGTGTTGCATTGCTGGTTCTTCGAAAGTGTTATGAACCGGTTCAGTATGCTGCATTTGATTAGCATTCCTTAGAAGCCCGTGAGTGAAAACAGTGCATAAAACTTTGTGTTGCACATTTCCACTCCTGACCTCTGGAGTTCAGCTTGTCCACACCTGGTTTCCTTTAGCCTTCTATAGAGAGACTCACATCATATGGAGAGGGAACAGGGTCCAAATGTTTAACAAACACATGGAGAAAGAAACACAATCTGTTCCTCTGATGATACTGACTGTAACGCTGACGTTTAGCTTCTCACGGAAAGGAAAATGCCTTTATTAAAGAGCCATGGTGTGTGTATGAAAGAGCCATAGTCGATTACAAATTTAGTGGGTTTAACTAAATTAGGTATTTACTGACAATAAAAATATTGGCCAAGTCTCATTATGAACAATTCAAAATGATCTTAAGAACCCCAAAAGATGCTTTTAAATGGGATGCCAAATTACGTGAAAATGCATGGCAGATGTGTTACCTTGGCAACAGCAAGGTCACTAGAAGCTTGCCTTTACGGGGAACAGAAAAGACATTTCCTGTGTGTGCTGCCCGGTGGAGAGAAATGAAGGGGGCTGGAGGGGTGGCAGGAAACAACAGTGGCACTGCTGGGTTCACTTACTGCCCTGCTGGAGTCTCCGCCAGCCACCGGACTACTGCTTCTGAAACCTCCTGCTGTTTGGGGTTCCTCATCATAAATCCAGGTAAGGAGGGACCCTTTGAGTACACAGGCACTGCAGGGGGTCAGAGGCCTAATGATTTGGTCTTTGAGAGAAAATGAAAAGATCGCATTGAAAATCTGGGATTTTTAACTTCGTTTTTAAATGAAATTAAATTAAATGTCATTTAATTTGTTAATTTTTTTTAAAACTTGCATGAGGGTATGTATGAGGATTTAGATTTTAAACAGAATAGTTTTGTACATTTTGTCCTGCAAACTAAACTAGATTTTATCTAAAAGGTTAAACTACATCAAAGCTATTTTCACAAATGTCAGCATGGGGCAAGTTGTCACAGGTGTTTTAAATATTGTAGGTTTATACAATACATAATACTTAAGATAGTATCCAAGACAGTATATGTCATTATAGAAACTGACTTTCAAAAATAAATTCACCCTGAAAAATGATTAGGGGGTGTACCAATACACTCATTCGGTTACAAGATATTTACAATATGATACTTTCAACAAACTTTGAACAAAGCCAGATTTTTTTTACTTCTAAATCCAGTCAACAAAAATTACAGTTCATTTAAATGCCTACATCATGGGTATTGGCTGACACCAAAATAGAATTATTCATAATTCTGCTTAGCTAAAAATACAGAAGTTTGTTAGGCACATATACTTGCACTCTGCCCCTAAATACATACATTTAAAAAGTTTTAAATATTGTATTTTTTAAATAATATATTTTATGGTTTATTTATCATTAATAATTAATAAACATAAAAGCTCAAATGAATAACCTTCTGTGTTATTGATATATATTGCGCCATTACCTGATGGTAATTTAAATCTGTCTAACTGTCATTTTGTGATACATCAACTTCACGCTGTGGATCGCCGGATCGGCTTTCAATGTGGACAAAGCGGAGTCCAGCCCGGGGTCGTCACATGTGGTTGCCGCAGGCATCACAATATGGTAAGGGACGTAACATTTCCGTCTCACGCTTGAGGTATTCGACCAATCACAACGCACTGGATAGCTGGCCAATCACAGCACACCTCGCTTTTTCAGACCGATGAGCTTTGTAAAAATTGAAGTGTTTCAAAAAGGCAGGGCATAGAGGAGAAACAATAATGTACAGTATGTGGAAAATAATGTGTTTTTTTAACCTTAAACCGCATAAACACATTTCATTACACCAAATACTCAAAATAATGTTATTTTTAGCAGCATCATATGACCCCTTTAACAAAAACTATTAAGGCCGGACACCGGTTTCAGTCTCTTTTCGATCGACTCGTTCGAGTAAATGATTTAATGACTCATTTAAAACACAAAAAGACTCGCCTGTTGCCACCTACTGGCTAAAAAATGTAATCCCCAGAAAGAGTCACTGAACGAGTTGGCGTACCAGTAAATTGATTCTTTTGTAGCGATCGGAATCAAAGAATCGAGTCACTGAGACGATTCCACGGCCGGTCATGTGACTCAGCATGGCGTCATCACGAGGAATAATCCCGCACCTGTAAACAGCTTTGCTCTTCAGTCTTCACGTCTTCATGTGAGTGAGTGTATATCATTTTAAACATATTTTTCAAATGTGCTTGTATTGTGGGGAACATAACTTGGTGCACTATTTTTTAATTATATAAATGCGATTGTATTAGATGGCAAAATATGAATCCAAGTGGAATAAATCATGCTTAATTAAGGTAATTTCTAATGGATATATGAAATCAGATCGCCTCTGGTTCGCACGGGTATCCTAATACAAGTGTTTCCCCAACTTTTTGTTGACAAAGGACACCAAAATACGAAGATCCTCTTTTTTCGAAACTATGAAGGTAGATAGCTATATATATATATATATATACACACACGCACATGTATAAAGACGCTATAGGCCTACTGTGTACAAAAAAAGTCATATAAACACCGAATTGCTTTGTCACTAACTGTACTCGTCTAAATAAATAATAATTTAAAGGAAAACACAGGCTATACTTTCTGATTGATTGATTTTTATATATTACTGTTTAAACACGGTTGTCAGTAATTAATCATGATTAGTCATGATTCTCTTGATTTCTGACCAGAATTAAACAGCAGTAATGTCAAATTTGATAATTGTTTTTCTTTTCCTTTTTTCTCATATATTTACTGCGGACCCCCTAGCGTCCCCTTGTGGTCTCCATGGCTCCAAATGTGAAAACCCCTGTACTAGAAAAATAATCTCAGGTTATTTATCACATATCTCAGTGTTTATCACATTAAGTATGAGGGGGGTTTAGTTAGACAACCGAAAGGAGCCTAAATGCTTCATTTCTTTCTTAATATTTAACAACTATATTTTTGTGACAAATGGAAATTGTGCTTGTGCTACAGAATCTTTCTTTAAAATAAACTCCTACATTTTTTCTTTTCAGTGACATGACTTTAAGAAATGTTTTTGTGTGCATTAAGTGTCTGAAACTATATGGGGCTGCTGTATGATTTTTCAGCCGGTAGCTGCTCTGGTAGTTAGTGTGGATGGGGTGTGGTGTCTGCTGTAGACTGACTGCCCTCTGGCCTTCTGAGCAGGACTTGCATTTAGGATAATGTGGTGTTCACCATCAGATAAAACCTGTAGAAGAAAGGTTTCAACAAACTGCTAAAATGTTATGTGAAATAGTAAGATCCTCTGGCAATGTGATTGGAGCTCTGACAAACGTCTGTTACTATATCAGATTTGGCACCGATGGGACAGAGGCCAAACGGTGCTCTATACAGAGTTATGAGTTTATGAATGAAGACAGACTGGGTACTTAAGGGCATGTTCACTCCTGTAAATAGCCACAGTGGGTATAATGCGCTTCTATTTTCATTTGATGTTAGTAATTCTGGCAACGTTTATTCACAATGTATTTATTTGAATCTATAATGTAAGTAAAATAATCGTAAACTTATCTTAATGTGATACAATTACATAAAATGCATTTATTCAATAATACACTCTAAAAAAATGCTGGGTTAAATATAACTCGGTGCTGGGTAAAATGGGGACAAACCCAGCAATTGGGTTGTTTTGACCCAGTGGTTGGGTTAAATGTTTCACCCAACCTTCTGGGTAGTAACCCAACCGCTGGGTCAAAACAACCCAATTGCTGGGTTTGTCCCTATTTTACCCAGCACTGGGTTGTATTTAACCCAGCATTTTTTAGAGTGTATCCATTTATTTAATATCTGAGAATAGATATTTATTAAATAGACTTTCTAAAAAATGAAATTAAACAAGTAGACTGACCGTGAAATGATTATCTCTTTTATCAATTTATTAAAAAATAAATCAAAATATTTGTCATCAAATAGGCTAATACATTGAAACATACACTCTAAAAAATGCTGGGTTAAAAAGGGACAAATCCAGCTGTTGGGTTGTTTTGAACCTAACCGCTGGGTCAAAACAACCCAATAGCTGGGTTTGCCCCTTTTTAACCCAGCGCTGGGTTATATTTAACCCAGCAAATTTTTTAGAGTGTAGGATCATTTTGAAAGTTTTTTTTTTTTGTCAGTCAGTTATTTATTTTATTGGAGAGTGCGTCTATGGTAAGGTTTTGTTTTAGTTGAAAGAAAAATAATTTTGTGCACATGATTCTCTCATGTATTGAGATGTATTCATGTGAAGATTGAGGATGGAATGGTATAAATGTCGATCAAACCAGACATAACAAAAAGCGGGTGTTTGTCAGCCACCAGAGGGACCAATATATTGTGTTGGCAATATTTAGCTACATAAGAAGTGCAGCATCCTAGTGAAGAGCGAATGCTAGTAAACTAAGTAGGCTGTTGTCTTGTATTATGGTTAAATCACCCTTACAAATATAACCATAGTAAACCAAAAGACTACAGTGGGTACAATTATAGATGAATTAATTTAGATATTAAAAAATGAAATGAAAATGCACATGTTTATTCAGTAGTTGCAATAACCATAATAGGAGTATGGGTACATTTTTGAAATTGTAAATAATGAAAGGTTTGTTTAGGGAATGTTGGAAAGACCTGTCATTGGTCTTCTTTCATTCCTCACTTCTTGAATAGAAAAAAAGTGTAAATGCATAAGGAAACCGAAACAGAGAAATAGTTTTTCAACAAATCTCTCTTTAACAGCAATTCCCTGCTGATCGGTGTTGCAGCATCTTAATGGAAAAACCAAAACCTTTTGGTTTTAGTAAATGTTGTCATAGCAAACATGGTGTTATGATTTCTGGCAGTGGTCACTTGTGTTGTAGTATTGTGGTACAAACGGCCACCAGAGGGCACTTTTAGATCAGTGTGAAGCGCATCTGAAGCTGATTAAATGGTGTGAAAGAATTATTCCCATTAACCTTGTGAATTTTCACCCTCATTTTATTTGCCTCTTAGGCAGGAAATATAAAATTAATAAATCTTTGGAATGAAACCGAATAAGTTGAAAAAAGAGCTTTTTCGATGCTTAATACTTAGACTTACTTTATTTTGTCGCATAGAAGGACGCTCACTTACAAGCATTTTAATAAACAGGTGATATACATGGAACAGTGCTGGATCAGGGTTATTATTTAAACCTAAAACCAGAAAATATATATATATATATATATTTCAGTTATTTGTCAAGGCAACATTTCTCATCTTCATTTATTACAAAAATACTATTAAAAAATATACAAACAAAATTGCTAAAATGGTATTTTATGAACAAAATATAACAATTATACATTCATTTATTAATGTTCAAAATATTAATAAAATGTATAATCGTGTATCAGTGATACTAAAATAACATTGTGCTGGATTTAAGTTTGCAAAAGGCAATGATTTTGCTGTATAGTATGTTGGTTAATTCTAATTTTCTAAAGTAAAAATTCAAAGATTCCCATTTATGCTATTTAAACTGTAGCCGAAATTGCATCTTTGTGATTTAAGCATTAAAAGAATTAATTTACAAAAATATTAGACATTTTCCTTATTCCAGGTAAAAAGTGGGGAACATCAAAATCAATTTCAGACATTTTGTAAATGTAAGCCTGCTGAGTAATAAATTAGTCTTTTATTTTCTTGAACAAATAATTACTTGACCTATGGCTGAAACAGTATTCAGCAGCATAACTAGTCATTTTAATCTCTTACTTCCATCTCTTTTTCTTATTGTGGTGCATGGGATCAAAATGCCATTTCTCTTCAAATTTGCAGAGGCTTAGGTGAGTCTAATAAATCACGGATTTTGAAGCTGAACAGCGAAGTCATCATTTTCTTTGGCTGTGCGTCTGTGTTTTCAGCACTCGCGTGTTTTCCAATGTCACGTAGGTTAAAAAATGTCTCTTTCTTCCAACCAAGTAGCATAGCTCACCTACTCTCAAAATGTTTCAAGCCACAGGTTTTGTTTGCCTTTGAGAGGAAGATGCCGAACATTTCCCCCCCAAGTTGTGGGTTTGCTTTGCTTGTTGATGCTGGATTGAAGGTCCGCAATCAGCCAGATGCTCTGTCTGGGAATAACGTGTGTTGTCTTGGCATCTACGAGATGATATGTTTAGTCAATCTGCATGATAACACTGGCAAAGTAGGGCCCAATTTGTGATCTTTGAATCTCGTTCAAACCCGAATTTCAGGCCCTGTTTTTGATGGAGCCTCTCCAGTGTTTTCCAATGTCACGTAGGTTAAAAAATGTCTCTTTCTTCCAACCAAGTAGCATAGCTCACCTACTCTCAAAATGTTTCAAGCCACAGGTTTTGTTTGCCTTTGAGAGGAAGATGCCGAACATTTCCCCCCCAAGTTGTGGGTTTGCTTTGCTTGTTGATGCTGGATTGAAGGTCCGCAATCAGCCAGATGCTCTGTCTGGGAATAACGTGTGTTGTCTTGGCATCTACGAGATGATATGTTTAGTCAATCTGCATGATAACACTGGAAAAGTAGGGCCCAATTTGTGATCTTTGAATCTCGTTCAAACCCGAATTTCAGGCCCTGTTTTTGATGGAGCCTCTCCAAATGTTCTCACTCTTAACCGGCTGACATCCAGCTGTTACAGATGGTGGACATTTTGGATCGAACTGGACAATATTAGGTCCAAGTCTCTGCTTCTCAGAACTGAGACCCCAGTGATGAGGCCTGCTGTTTTGCTTTGTGCTGCAGAGAGTTTTCTGTAGACATTCAAGATGGTCTTGTGGTTTTGAGCTTGCTGGAGTTGATCCAGTCATGGCACTCTTCATCTTTACTGAATTGGGGAATAGTGGAAGTGTCTAATGATGAGAAACTGGAACCTAATGTGTTTTACTTTCATGAGAATACAGTATTTTTGGTGCATGTAGTTAGTAACAAGAGCAATCAAAAAAAGAAATATTACATTTTTTTTATTTTATTTAATAATAAAAAAAAAATTTAATTAGTTTTTTATTAGATTTTATTAATTTTAAATATAAATTAGTATACACACAGATTGTCCCACAAAATTAAAAAATAAATAAATGTATATTTCGAAGGAGATATACATATACATATACATATTATTATTTATCTATTTTTAAAATGACAGAAAAATTAAGAACA